GCAGCTTCCTTCCCTAAAAGGACAATAGTGAACCAGATAGGTTTTTCCTGACAATTGGCAATGGATTTATAGTCATCACTAACATTTAATTCCAGATTTTCAGTGAATTCAAATTCTACCATCTGCTGTAGCAGGATTCAAACCCGAGTCCTCAGAACAATACCTGGGTCTCTGGATTAACAGGCCAGCAATAATACCACTAGGCTGTTGCCTCCCCTAGAATAATATTCTAGTTACATTTTAAGAACCTACAAAAAAAAAAAAAATTTGTGTCTTCTACAATCACAGTGCTTGAACAATTAAACACTGAATTGGCAAGTATATTCTGACTTTAAAAATCATTATGGTCAAAGCAAGACTGTCAAAAGGAAGTAATTCTACCATTCTCACAATAATATTTTTCAAAAGGGTCTCTTTGACCTAAAAAAGTTACATCCCTGGTGACAAAATTATTCAACAGCTATCCCAGAATTTACATTCATGCCATCTTTAAAATCCAATTGTACACCCAGACAGTACCATCATTCTGGAGCTGCCCATATGATTCCCAACATTTGCCCAGGAGGCAGAGTAACAGAGGTTGACTAGACTAGCTCCTGAAAATGAGAAGATTGGTGGTGAGAAGATATTGAGTAGACTAGGTCTACATTTCCTGTAGTTTAGGAGAATGCGAGATGAACAAAGTCAAACATCACATTTTGTAATATTTTCTAACAGCATTCATAGATAAATATTGAGAAAACATTTCCTTAACTGAGAATTCTAGAACACAGGTCTCACAGCCTCAAATAAAAAGTCAAGCATTTGGAGGCATTCAGCCGATGATCTAATGTTCTAACTGAATGACAGGGCTGATTGTTTATTACTAACTCTATGATTGAGAAAAGGAGAAGTTTATGCTCCACACCAGAGGGCTCAATTGCGGAGTATATTCAAAACATAATGAAGGGATTTTTGGGTACTAAGGAAATCAAGAAATATGGGGATGATGTTGATCAGCCAGAAATTATGTTGAATGAAGGAATACGCATGAAAGGCCACTAAACACAACTCTCATTTCTCAGATAACACGGTATAGAGCTGGATGAACACAGCAGGCCAAGCAGCATCAGAGGAGCAGGAAAGCTGACGTTTCGGGTCGAGACCCTTCTTCATATTTCTATTGAAGGAACTAAGTAAATGCAAGCTGTTGTTTAAAAAAACGAAATAGGAGATAATGTTTTGCTATTATTATACAAACAGACAGGGAATATTTTAAAATCTAAATATAAAATTATTGAACGAACAACACAAGATTCCAGGTCTCAGTTCCGGGCCTCATCAACTTCACCGAAACAACTGATCAGTCAAACCCCAACATTAACTCCGCATCTGCTTATATTTCGTTTTGTACTCAGAATAATGTAACTGACTTACTTTAAAATCGTTTCCACTTAAATCTACACCTCTAATGAAAGGCAACACCCCGGTGGCAGCCATGTTAACGATGACAATTGATCACGGACACCTCAACCAAAAACTTGCCTACCTTTCTCCACACCTCATTGGTTCACCCGTCTTACTTAGCCGGGCCAAGCGCTGGGACTCTGGATAATGATTGGTCCAATGTTATGTCAATAACAGTACGGCCATCAAGTTAGGTTGAGGCCCGATTTCCGCCCGTAATCCAGACGTTTGTAACTCCCCGCCCCTTCACTAGTCACGTGCACGGAATGTCTGTGGTTTCATTGGCTGCTTCAGATGTCAGTCACGGTCTGAGGGCGGGTCGCTCGATGGGTTGCATCTCTTCCGGGAAGAAATGAAATAATGGGGTAAAGAAGGAAAATGTGGTCGAGATCTCGAGTGACTTACCGGTTGCTAGTCTTTCAGCTCGGGAAGCCGTAATATAGGCCTACCTCCCTTATCCATTCCATTAGCCGTCTTGGGAGTCAGGGTTGTTGAATGAGCGATAACAAGGTGCAGAGCTGGATGAACACAGCAGGCCAAGCAGCTTCAGAGGAGCCCGAAACGTCAGCCTCTCTGCTCCTCTGATGCTGCTTGGCCTGCTGTGTTCATCCAGCTCTGCACCTTGTTGTCAGAGGAGCGGGAAGGCTGGCTTTTCGGGCCTAGACCCTTGGTGCCGGGTTCACCTGTCAATGGTTTGCTGATCAATCCCGGCGAAAGCAAATTTGAAGTTGAATTTTAGTATTAATTTATAGGATTAGTTGTTCCAGTTATAATATCGGTTATTGTTATTTATACTGTTACCGCGAATGTACAACTATTAAATCGGAAATTAATACTAACTTTTGATATACATTTATTAAAGAAATTGTAAAATGTCAATTGAATTTGCAGATTGATAAAAGTTACTTGGGAAAAAAATACAATCTCTCAACCGAATGCAGGTTTATTTTGCGTACGGTTATATTTTATTAGTAAATAGTGATCGTTGTTTTCCTTCATGAAATGGGTTTCTGCAGCTCTGGTTCAGAGGCGGGTGATTTATTTCGGTAGAGCGCAGAGCACATTCCGCCTTTGCATGGTGCTGCCCATCAGGCCCTGTTACAGTGGCCCACCTACGAATGTTTCAAGTAAAAATAGTACATTCTGCAAATACACTGTAGTTTATGGGAGTATCCTTGGAGGAGAGAAAAAGTTCACCTTCCGGTCGCGAACCATTTCAACTCCCCCTCTCACTCCCTAAGTGACATGTCCATCCTGGGCCTCCTCCAGTGTCACAATGACACCACCCACAAACTGGAGGAGCAGCACCTTATATTCCACCTTGGGAGCCGACAGCCCAATGGTCCCAATGTGGACTTTACTAGTTTTCAAATCTCCCCACCCCAGGCTTCATCCCATGTCCAACCCTCCCTCTCAGCCCACCTCCTTGACCTGACACAACCTGTCCTTCTTCTCTCCCACCTATCTGCCCCACCCATTCCACTGACCACTCCCTACCTGCATTCACCTAACACCATTCCACCTACCTTCCCCAGCCCTACCCCCTCTTCTATTTATTTCTTAGCTCCCTTCCCCCTCCCACATTTCTGAAGAAGGGTTCTGACCCGGAACGTCAGCTTTCCTGCTCCTCCGATGCTGTCTGGCCTGCTGTGTGCCTCCAGTTCCACACTGTGTTATCTCTGACTCCAGCATCGGCAGTTCTTACTATCTCTCAACGTTTAAGATTTGTGAACTTTTATGTGAACCAATAAGAATGTCTTTTTTCAAGTTAAACGCTGTCGGCAATTATACTTATGCATTCGATAAACTATCATTCAAGAAAAAGGCGGAGAATCAGGTGATGTGTGCACTGATCTTGTTACCATTTTTGTGGTTTTAAAGGCATTTGTTTGCAAGGCTGTTGCTGCTAGTGTCATTGGCCACTCGATTGGTAGTGATGAGCAATGGTTATCTATTAAATGACAGGTAAATACTGAATAGTGCTAGAAATCTGAAACAAACAGAGAATGCTGGAGAAACTCAACAGGTCTCGCAGGGTCTAATGTCTTGAGTCGGCTGTAACCTCTTTGGAACTGCTTATATATTGATTACATATTCCGTGTTTATACACTGAATTCAGTATATTGACTATATATTGGGGGGCGTCATCTTTCCTGATCCGCCATTCAATTAAATGTGCCTTTCTCTGCACTCCTTCATTAATGAGTCCCCTTCTGTACATCCCTGCCTGTAGTTGAAAACGGCGGGTAGTTAAGTCCTTAATATTAAAGCACAACTATTTTGAGTTAGTAGGAACTGCCAATGCTGGAGAATCTGAGATAACAAGGTGTAGAGCTGGATGAACACAGCAGGCCAGGCAGCATCAGAGGAGCCGGAAAGCTGACGTTTCCGGTCTGGACCCTTCCTCAGAAATGGGGGAGGGGAAGGGAACTCTGAAATAAAGGGGGGGGGGAAGGGGGGTGATGGAAGGTGGATAAAGGAGCAGATAGGTGGAGAGAAGACGGACAGGTCAAGGAGGCGGGGATGAGGCTGGTAGGTAGGAGGTGGGGTCGGGGTTGGTCGGTGAGGTGGGAGAAAAGACGGACAGGTCAAGGAGGTGGGGACGAGCTGGGCTGGTTTTGAGATGCGGTAGGGGGAGGGGAGATTTTGAAGCTTGTGAGGTCCACCTTGAAACCATTGGGCTGCAGGGTTCCCAAGCGAAATATGAGGAGCTGTTCCTGCAGCCTTCGGGTGGCATCGTTGTGGCACTGGAGGAGGCCCAGGATGGACACGTCATCCAAGGAGTGGGAGGGGGAGTTGAAGTGGTTCGCGACTGAGAGGAGCAGTCGTTTGTCACGAACCGAGCGTATTTTGAGTTTCTGCTTTTTCCTTGTTCAGTGTCTGCACGTTGAGGCAGCATTAGCCAACTGTAATTCACTCTCCCTATAGCTCACTCGATTATGCTTAGACAACTGGAAGGGAATTGAGAAGGGAATTATTCACGTTTTAATATGTTTTGTTTGTAATGCTTTCCTGAATTCTTCTTAACCAGAGTGCTTCTTCAAAATGGCCAATATTGTTCAGGGAAAAGGGAAATGGAGAGACAGTGGGTTTGGAGATGTCATCAACTTCCTGCTGACAAATGCCCAGCTGGAGTTGGGGGAGCTGCTGTACTTGATATTGCAATGATGGCTGCTGAAAGGCTGAGTTGGCCCATCTGCCATTTTTTGGTCAAGCTTCAGCAATGTTCTCCTGTGACCATGTTGAGCCTGCATGCAGTTTACCACCTGGATATTCAATGTGCAACAGCAGTGACGTGATGTTTGAAAGGGGTGGATTGGCTACCGGACAGCATAGATTGCATGGGTTCAGTGTCAACCACATTGTTGTAAGATGGACTGTAGAGCTGCACCATGTGCTCTTTTAGAACTCTGGAACTCCAACTCATTCAGGGTTTCCGTTACTAGCTGCTCTTCAGTGGGATGGGTCAGATTTAGTTCTGTCAAGTTATTAACATCTGAGTTTTTACATGGCACAGTTCAAGGAAACTTCTTGAGTTCCTCTGTATGTTTGCAGATGTTTGATAAAGCCAGTGATCCACCAGACAGCTCCCTAGATAAGCCAGTCACACAACCTACAACTGGATTGCCACATCTCCAAAACTGCTGAATGTACATTTGAGTGAATCCAAGCACAGAAAGCTGAATATCAAATCCAACCGTAAAAAAAGGTAAGTATTTGTTCCTGGGCTGTGATTCCCTGGGGCAGAAGGGACGTGGAGGAAAACAATTTAGGGAATCGAGTTTAAAAAAAAAACAGAATAAAATCATTATGAGAAATGAGGAAAACTACCCAAATGAACTGGACAAAAGAGAAAGATGAAGGGAATAGGGAAATGTGGTTCCTACAATACATGCAGGACTCCTTTTGAACCTAATACATGATAAATACACAGAGCAGATTTGTTGATCCAGCACAGGTAAATGAAGTAAAAGTACAGCTGTGCTTTTCAAACTCTTTCTGTGATCAACTGCAAGAGTGGAGTGACGGAGTTGAGAACTGGTTGTTGTTAGAGCAGGAGAATAGCTGTTATAACTCAGTCAGAGCTCCAAGGTAGTCATTGCTGGGAAGTTCAAAAGTAGAGACACTTTTGGCAGTATTGACCATGAGGACATAGGAATAACATAAACAAAGTAGAGATTGGACACATGGAAGCCAGGGAACTTAGGAAATAAATAGTGATGTCTTAAAAAGAATCCACATTACAGAAGAGAAGGTGCTGGAAATCTTAAAATGCATAAAGATAGATAAATCCTGAGAACTGATCAAATGTTTCACAGGACACTGTGGGAAACTAAGGAAGAAATTGCAGGGCTCCTAGAAGAGATATTTGTATCATCTACAGAAACGGGTGAGGTGCCGGAAGACTGGAGAGTTGCTAAAGTTGTACCATTTATTTATGAAAGGCTGCAAGGAAAAGCCAGGGAACTATAGACTGGTGAGCCTGACATTGGTGGTGGGTAAGTTATTGGAGGGGATTCTGAAAGACAGGATTTGCATGAATTTGTAAAGGCAAGGACTCGTTCTCATTAGGGATAAAAACTGAAAGAACTGCAGGTGCTGTAAATCAGGAACAAAAACAGAAGTTGCTGGAAAAGCTCAGCAGGTCTGGCAGCGTCTGAAGAAACTTCACAGTTAACATTTCAGGCCCCGTGAACCTTCCCTTCTGAGGAAGTGTTACTGGACCCAAAATGTTACCTCTGATTTTTCTTCACTGATAAGGGATAGTCAGCATGCTTTGTGTGGGAACTCATGTCTCACAAACTTGAATGTGTCTTTTTTTTTTTGAAGATAAATGAAGGCAGAGTGGTAGACATTGTCTACATGGACTTTAGCAATGCCTTCGACAAGGTTCCACATGGTAACTGGTTAGTAAAGTTTGATCACATGGGATCCAGGGAGAGCTAGCCAATTGGATACAAAACTGGCCTGACAGTAGGAGACAAGGTGGTGGTACAGGGTTGTTGTTCTGACTGGAGGCCTGTGACGAGCAATGTACCACAAAAATCAGTGCTGGGTCCACTTTTGTTTGTCATTTACATAAATGGTTTGGATGAGAATATGGAGGCATGGTTAGTAAGTTTGTGGATGACACCAAAATTGGTTGTATAATGGACAGTGAAGAAGGTTTCGTAAGAGTACAATGAGATCTTGACCAGTTGGGCCAATGGGCCCAGGAATGGTGGATGGAGCTTAAATGTTGCATTTTGGTAAGACAGACTAGGACAGGACTTGCATAGTTAAAGGTTGGACCCTGGAGAGTGTTGTTGAACAGAGAGACTTAGGGGTTCAGGTACGTAGTTCCTTGAAAGTGGTGTCACAGGTAGACAGGGTGGTGAAGCTGGCATTTGGCATGCTTGCCCTCATTGGTCAGAGCATTGAGTATAGCAGTTGGGACATCATATTGTGGCTGTACATGGCATTGGTGAGGCTACCTTTGGAGTACTGTGCACAGTTCTACTTGCCTGTTATAGGAAGGATGTTATTAAACTGGAAAGGGTGCAAAAAAGATTTACAAGGATGTTACCGAAACCAGAGGACTTGAGTTATAAGGAGAGGCTGGATAGGCTTGGACTTTTTTCCCTAGAGCCTCGAACATGGAGGGGTGACCTTACAGAAGTTTATAAAATCATGAGAGGCATAGATAAGGTAAATAGCCAATGTCTTTTCCCCATGGTGAGTGAGTCCAAAACTAGGGGGCATTGGTTCAAAGTGAGAGAGGAAAGAGTTAACAGGGACCTGAGAGGGCAACCTTTGCACACAGGATAGTGTGCATATGGAAAGAACTTCCAGAGGAAGTAGTGGAGGTGAGTACGGTTATAGCAGGTGATTTGGACAGGTACACAAATAGGCAGGTTTAGGGAGATGTGGGCTAAATGCAGGCAAATGGGACTAATTCAGTTTAGGAAGCCTGCTTGGCGTGTACAAGTTGAACTGAAGGGTCTGTTTCCATGCTACGGGATTCTGATTAATTCAGGGACTGAGAGTAGAACCTGGGAGAACAAAATAGGCAAAAATATTGGCAAACAACAATGGAAACAATTTAACATGAACTTCACCAGAGTGCAGAAAGAGGTTTTCCACAAAAAGAGAAAACAAAGCCAACAAATTGGGACTCCCTTGCTGAATTAAGGCACAAGGGAACAAATGAAGGTGAAGAAAGAATTGGACCATAAGACTGGATGATAAGAAAAAACAAAGAAAATGTGAGAAGTAAAGAAAAAATTCAGAAGGCAAAGAACAACTATGAAATTAAATTATCAAAAACACATACAGGTTGTACCTCCCTCATCTGCAACTCTAATGTCTAGCACCACAATACTTCCAAGTCTCCCTGTAATAGCTCTGCATCGATCTTTATTCATATTACCTCTTGGTGAATTTTGTCCAGTTTGGCTACACTAAATTCGGTTTTTGGTATGCAGTTGGAAAATAATTCATCCATTAGGCATGTGATTGATGCAAGTCTAGGTGAGGTCTTTACTTTTGTAATGTTTGTGCATTTAATATTCTTTACCTTCTGTAGACTGGCAAAGTTTGAGTTCCAAGGTGGCCAGACTAGGGAGGTATAATCTATAATAAAATAATTTTCAGGCACATAAATAACAAAAGGGTAACTAAAAAGGGAAGTAGAACATTAAGGAATAGATTGGATAATGTCTAAGGCAATGATGGAGACATGGCAGACTTATTAAATAATTATTTTATTTTGGTATGTATCAGGGAGATAAAATGGATACAAATGACATTTGAATGATGAGATGAAAATGAGAGAAGTGCATTAAAAACAACAGGGAATGTGCTGAATAAATCAAACAAACAAAGAAGATAATATTCCTGGTCGAGATGAATTGCATCCACATAGTTTAAAATACCTAGGGAATAGATAGCATGAGGCATTACTAAACATATTAAATTCATTAGAAAAAAGTTGTAGTGTCAGAGGATTGGTTGATAACTAGTATAATTCTTTATATTGAAGGGAGGTAGAGCTTTATCAGAGAATTGTACACCAATCTGCTGATAATTGGTGTTAGGAAAATAATGTAACCTCTACTAATGGAGAGAATATAAGCACATCTAGAAACAAGTAATGCAGTAATGAATAACTAGCATTGATTTCAAAAGTGAAAATGATGCTTGACAAGCCTTTAGTGATTTTTTTTTGAGGAAGGAATAAAGAGTAGGCAATGATTATATAGGTAATTAATCTGGATTTTGAAAAGTCATCCAAAAAGGTTCTCCATGATAGATTAAACCAATAAAGTCAGAGAAGTTGGAGTAAGGGAACATAATGGTTCTGAAGAAGGGTCACTCAACCCAAAACATTAACTCTGCTTTCTCTCCATAGATGCTGTCAGACCTGCTGAGCTTTCCCAGCAATTTCTGTTTTTGCTCCTAACAGCACTGTTCTATTAGTCTGCCAATGGGGGCATGGCAACACAAAAACAGATAGTGTAAATCAAGAAGGCCATAAAAAGTGAATCATGCAGTAGTGTTTATTTCTAGAGAGATAGAATTGAAAGGTAGGGAAGTTATACTAAACATGTATCAAACCTGGGTAGGTCAACTCTTTAATCAGAACTATACACTGTATTCTTACATCTTCTTTTATAACATGGCTGCTTTACCCTATGTTGAATCTGTACTGTACTTTCTCTAAGCGTGGTTGGGACAGTAGATAGGGAACTTTGCTCTGTGCCTAGTCCTAAGTGTAAAGCTTTGTTTTAGAGAAACTACATTTTTCACTTTGAGCATAAAAGTCATTCTAAGTCACTCCTCAATGTCCTAGGCTCCAGGGGAAAAAAGTCCCACCCTATCCAGTCTCTCCTTTATAACTCAAATCCTCCAGTTAACTCCTAAGAAATGCTTTGATTGTATTTTCTAGGGAATTGTCAAGATAATTTATTGGCAGTCACTAGACTAGACAGCAGTAAAACTACCCACTACATCGGCCTGCAGGAGAAGCTTCTAGCCTATTACATACCCCAATCAATCCCTCCTGAAGAGCTAAGCAAATCAAAGCATTGCACAATGAACATCTGCACAGAGCTGCAGAAATTTCTCCGCTGTAAATACCCAGACATACTCTTGGAAGAGATAAACCTCAGTGGTAGCCTTTACAGTGATCTCCAAATGATGGCCCCTGATCAAGTTTACCTGATGCTGCTGCTACTGCTGCTTGAAGACTATCTCTGGACTCTTGTTATAGGGGAATAAACAAGATTGAATGTGTCTGGTTTGCAGATGGTACGTAGAGATAACATGGAATATTTTCCCCAAGGCATCAGTTATTGGGATAGATTTATTGTGGGAAGATATGTCCTAAGTTAATTGTTGAGATGTTCCACAAAATGGTGTCAGGGAATATGAACTGGCTGGTGATTAGTACTTTACTGGATTGTATCGTTCAACTGCAGGAAGTCAACAGAAACCTAGAGTTGAAAGTTCAGTATGTGAGGAGAAAGTCCTGTATGTTGATATCTTACCAATGATTAAAAAGGAGGATACTATACTTCTCCCTCAGCTGCAAATAAAGGGCAATTTTACAAATATATGGCAATAGAGTTTCTGGGCTTCTGAGACCAACCGACTACAATCCTTGGATAGTATTGACTTGGGCTTCAGATTCTGCTGCTTGAAGATACTGAAAGCAGTCTGCAAGGGTCAGCCAGAGCTAAAGCTGACTGGTAGCCAGCTAATCAATGTTACCCTGCACCTGAGCCAAGTGGAAAAAGACTGGACCAAAGAAATGCTTGCTGAGCGGATCCTTCAAATATTCCAGGAGCTTGTTGGCTATTTGGAGCCAGCATATTTTAGCAATAAGGTGAATCTGTTGACCTGTATGTCGAATGAAGAGATTGATATAATTGGTTATACCCTGTCCTGTGCCATGTCACAATCTGACATGCTGTTTACTCAGTTACTGGACAAACATGATTTGCAATTTACTGCATACTGACTTCAAATCTGAGTTTTTTTTTGTCAGCTACATCTTTTGAATCCTTGTGGGGTTTTTTGTATTTATAAAGGTTTCACATTCACCTAATAATGTTCTTGGATTTTGCTTCAGTATGGACTAATGCTACAGACAGAAGAATAAATGAATCATCAGAACTGATGCAGGTTTCTCAGGTAATCATGGATCAATGACTAGTCAGATTGTGAGATGCCCCTACTTCATTATGAGAGCAGTCTTGATTGGCTAAAAATCAGTCAACCGGCACGCAATGATTAATGTCCTTTTATTGGAATGCACCAAGAGTGTAACTTCCTCCAAGTAGTACGTGAGCCTCTCTCCCTCATAAAGTCAAAAGTGCAGACGTTAGCCAATAACTGCAGAGTATTTAGCACTGTTCATGATTTCTCTGATAATGAAGCAGTGGGTATCCATATGCAGCAAGATTTGGACAATGTTCAGTCTTGATAATTGTCAAGTGACATTCACACCAAGTGCCAGACACAAAGTAGAGAACAATACAGCACAGGAACAAACCCTTCAGCCCACCATATCTGTGCTAAGCATGATGCCTTTCTAAACTAATCCAATCTGCCTGTAGATGGTGTGAATCTCTCTGTTCCCTGCCTGTTCGTGTATCTGTCCAAACGTATCTTAAACTTTGCTAATGCATTCACTTCTACCACCTCCTTTGGCAGCATATTCAAGGCACCTACCACTCTGTGTTCAAAAAAAAACTTTCCTTCCATATCTCCTTCAAACTTTCTCCCTCTCATTTTAAACCTATGCCCCCTATTTCACATTTCCACCCTGGGAAAAAGATTCCAACTATTCATTCTATCCATCCCTTTCAATTTTGTTTACGTCTTATCATGTTGCTCCTCAGCCTCTGACATTCAAGCAAAAACAATCCAAGTTTGTCCAACCTCTGCTATAGCTAATACACTCCAATCCAGGCAACATCCTGACAAATCTTTCTGCACCCTCTCCAAGCCTCTGCATTCGTTCTTTCCTGCGGTGATCAAAACTGCACACAATACTCCAAATGTGGCCTAATTCAAGTCTTCTACAGCTGCAACATGACTTGCCAACTTTTATACTCCATGTCCTGACCGATTAAAGCAAGCATTCCGTACACCTTCATGATCACCTTATCCACCTGTGTTCCACTTTCAGGAAGCTATGGACTTGGAATTCAAGACCCCTCTGTATATCAATACTCTGATGGGTCCTGCCATTCACTTCATACTTGTCCAGATTAAACTCTATCTGCCATTTCTCTAACTTTTTAAATTGATTGTATATACTGCTGTATCCTTTGATAACCTTTCTCACCATCCTCAATTCCTCCAAGTGTGTCATTTGGAAAGTTACTAATCAGACTGCCTACATTATCATCCAAATCATTTATAATTATTACAAACAACAGAGGTCCCAGCACTGATATGAAACACTGCTGGTTACATATTCCTAGTCAGAAAAACATCCATCCGCAACTACCCTCTATCTTCTATAACCAGGCCATTTTGTATTCGACTTACAAAGTCACCATGGATTCCATGCAACTTAATCTTCTGGAACAACCTCCCATGACAGACCTTGTCAAATGCTTTAGTAAAGTCTATGTGGACAACATCTTCTGCCCTACCATTTTTGTCACGTCCTCAAAAAATTCAATCAAGTTTGTGAGACAAGACATCCCCCACATAAAGCTATGCTGACTATCCCTAATAACTCCATTCTTCTCTAAATGCAATTAAATTCTGTTCCTATGAATCTTCATTAATTTCCTGCACACTATTGTAAGGCTCAATGGTCCATAATTTCCTGGATTATCTTAAAGAGAGGAACAACATTGGCTATTCTTCCATCTTCTCACCTGTGGCTAAAGAGGATACAAAGATCTCTGTCAAGCCCCGGAGTTTCCTCCCTTGCCTCCTTCAGTATCCTGGCATAGATCCCATCGGGCCATGGGACTTGTCCACTTTAATGTTTTCACAACACCCAACATCTCCTCTTCCTCCTTAATATTGATCTGTCCCAGAATATAAATATTCCTCTCCAAAATTACCATCATCTATGACCTTCTCTTTGGTGAATACCAATGTGAAGTACTCATTAAAGAACCACTTCTGCTGGCTCCATGCATAAATTTCCTCCTTTGTCTTTAAGTGAACCTACCCTTTCCTGTTACCCTCCCACTTCTAGTATATGTTTAAAATACCTCTGGATTCTACTTGATCCTAGTTGTTATTGTCAAGTCAAGGCCTCTTCTAGCCTTCCTAATTTCTTGTTTAAGTTCTTTTCTGCTTCCTTTACACTCAAAGGGCCTTGTTTGATAATGACCATCTTAAAAAGAGAGAGAATCCAATGATATTACCATCACTCACTATCAACATCCTGGGGGCTACCAATGACCAGAAACTGAATCAGACCAGCCATGTGAACACTTTGGCTATAAGAGCAGGTCAGAGGTGGGAATTATGTGGCAAGTAACTCACTTGCTGACTTCCTAAAGACTGTTCAATGTCTACAAGCTCTAACACTCAAGAATACTCATCAAGGAAAAGCAGTCCACTTGATTGGTACACCATCCTCTTCTTAAATATTCAGTCCCTCTGCTACCAAAACACAGAGAGGTTGTTGACTTGCTCGCCAAGCTGGCTTGTTTGTTCAGACATTTCGTCACCATGCTAGGTGACATCATCAGTGGAGCCTCCAATGAAATGATGTTATTCTACACCACTTGGAATTTATACTGTCCAGTCCATTATGGTGAGTTGTGTCATATCTGGTTTTGATCTGTATGGGTTTGTATATGGGTCCAATTCTATATGTTTGTTGATTGAAGAATGGGTGGAGAACCATGCCTCTAGGAATTCCCATGCGTGTCTGTTTGGTTTGGGCTACTATGGTTACCTTGTCCCAGTTAAAGGGAAGGAGAGCTCAAGATCTGTTAGGAATGGAGGTGATAGGACTCAAAAAGAAGATGCAAAAACTGGCATAAGGGCACTTTATCTGAATGCTCGGAGCATTCAAAACTAGGTGGATGAGTTGACGGCGCAAATCATGGCAAATGGGTATGATTTAGTGGCCATTACAGAGACGTGGTTGCAGGATGGTCATGACTGGGAGTTAAATATCCAGGGGTATCAAACTGTTCGGAAGGACAGACAGGAAGGTAAGGGAGGTGGTATCGCTGCTCTGATTTTTAAGGATGATATCAGGGTGGTAGTGAGAGATGATATAGGTTCTACTGAACAAAAGTTTGAATCCATTTGGGCGGAAATTAGGAATAGCAGGGAGAAGAAGTCACTGATAGGTGTGGTCAAGAGGCCGCCAAATAGTGACATCATGGTGGGGCGGGCAATAAACATAGAAATAGCTAATGCATGTAAAAATAGTACAGCAATTATCATGGGGGATTCTAATCTACATATCGATTGGTCAAACCAGGTCGGTCATGGCAACCTTGATGAGGGGTTCATAGAATGCATCTGCGATAATTCCCTTGAACAATATGTAATGGAACCTATGAGGGAGCAAGCTATCCTAGATCTAGTCCTGTGTAATGAGACAGGAATACTTAATGATCTCACAGTTAGGAATCCTCTCGGAAGGAGCAATCACAGTATGGTCGAATTTAAAATGCAGATGGAGCATGAGAAGATTAAATCCAGTACCAATGTCCTGTGCTTAAACAAAGGAGACTGTGATGGGATGAGGGAGGAGTTAGCTAAGGTAGAATGGGAGCAAAAACTTTATGGTGGGTCAATTGAGGAACAGCGGAGGACTTTCAAAACGATTTTTCACAGTGCTCAGCAGAAGTATATTACAGCGATAAAGAAGAACTGTAGGAAAAGAGATAGACATCCATGGCTGACTAAGGAAATAAAGGAAAGTATCAGATTAAAAAAAAAACATACAAAAAAGCAAAGAGTAGTGGGAAACTAGTGGACTGGGAAATCTTTAAAGGCCAACAGAAAGCCACAAGAAAAGTTATAAAGAAAAGTAAGATAGATTATGAGAGTAAACTAGCTCAGAATATAAAAACAGGCAGCAAAAGTTTCTAAAAATATGTGAATCATAAAAGAGTGGTGAAGTTAAACATTGGTCCTTTAGAGGATGAGAAGGCCAATTTAATAACTGGGAATAAGGAAATAGCCAAGGCATTAAACAGTTATTTTGTGTCGGTCTTCACAGTGGAAGACATAAATAACATGCAGATAACCGACGGCAAGAAGGTTATAGCAGGTGAGGACCTAGACACTATCATTATCACTAAGGAGGCAATGCTGGGCAAGCTAATGGGGCTAAAGGTAGACAAGTCTCCTGGCCCTGATGAAATACATCCCACGGTACTAAGAGAGGTGATGGGGGAAATAGCAAATGCACTGGTAATTATTTACCAAAATTCACTGGACTCTGGGGTGGTTCTTGCAGATTGGAAAACAGCCAATGTGACGCCACTGTTTAAAAAAGGAAGTAGACAAAAAGCAGGTAACTATAGGCCAGTTAGCTTAACTTCGGTAGTGGGAAAAATGCTTGAATCTATCATTAAGGAAGGGATAGCAATACATCTGGATATAAATTGTCCCATTGGGAACACCCAGCATGGGTTCATGAAGAGCAGGTCATGTTTAACTAATTTGGTGGAATTCTTTGAGGACATTACTTGCATTGTGGACAATGGGGAACCTGCGGATGTGGTGTATCTGGATTTCCAGAAGGCATTTGACAAGGTGCCACACCAAAGGCTGCTACATAAGATAACGTTGCACAGTATTACAGGTAATGTATTGGCATGGATAGAGAATTGGTTGACTAGTGGAAAACAAAGAGTAGGGGTAAATGGATGTTTTTCTGGTTGGCAGTCAGTGGCTAGTGGTGTGCCTCAGGGATCAGTGTTGGGACCGCAATTTACAATTTATATGGATGATTTGGAGTTGGGGACTAAGTGTGGTGTGTCAAAATTTGCAGATGACACTAAGATGAGTGGTAGAGTAAAGTGTGCAGAAGACACTGAAAGTCTGCAGAGGGATATGGATAGTCTAAGTGAGTGGGCAAAGGTCTGGCAGATGGAGTACAATGTTGATAAGTGTGAGGTCATCCATTTTGGTAGGAATAACAGAAAAATGGACTAGGTTTTAAATGGTAAAAAATTGCAGCACACTGCTATGCAGAGGGACTTGGATGTCCTTGTGCATGAATTGCTAAAAGTAGGATTGCAGGTACAGCAGGTCATTAAAAAGGCAAATGGAATTCTGTCTGTCATTGCTAGAGGGATGGAGTTTAAAAACAGGCAGGCTATGCTGCGGCTGTATAGGGTCCTGGTGAGGCCACACCTGGAGTACTGTGTGCAGTTTTGGTCTCCTTACTTGAGAAGGAATATACTAGCACTGGAGGGGGTGCAGAGGAGATTCACTCGGTTGATTCCAGAGTTGAGAGGGTTGGATTATGAGGAGAGACTGAGTAGGCTGGGATTATACTTATTGGAATTCAGAAGAATGAGGGGAGATCTTATAGAAACATACAAGATTATGAAGGGGATAGATAAGGTGGAGGCAGGGAGATTGTTTCCACTAGCAGGTGAAACTAGGACTAGGGGGCATAGCCTCAAAATAAAGGGAAGCAGATGTAGGACGGAGGTCAGGAGGAACTTCTTCACCCAAGGGGTTGTGAATCTGTGGAATTCCCTGCCCGGTGAAGCGGTTGAAGCTGCCTCGCTGAATGTTTAAGGCAAGGCTAGATAAATTTTTGAACAGTAAAGGAATTAAGGGTTATGGTGAGCGGGCAGGTAACTGGTGCTGAGTCTCAAAAAGATCAGCCATAATCTTATTGAATGGCGGCGCAGGCTTGAGGGCCAGATGGCCTACTCCTGCTCCGAGTTCTTATGTTCTTATGATGGCCTTCATTGTCTGAGTGTACCGATATTAAGGAGAGTTCGTTTGCTGTTTTGCTGCTAGCTGATGTTCATGTATTCTGATGGCTAGTTTCCTTCCTGTCTGTCCGATTAAATGTTTGTGGCAGTTGTTACATGGTATTTTGTAAACCACATTCGTTCTGCGTGTTGTGGGAATGGGGTCTTTAATCCTTGTAAGTGTTTGTCGTAGACAAAGGGTAGGCTCACTGAAGGACAAATGGACGGACAGTACAAATTCCAAGTGGAGTAGAATAACATCGCTTCATTGGAGGCTCCACTGATGTCGTCACCTAGCATGGTAAAACGTCTGAACAAAAATAGGCCAGCTCGGCGAGCAACTCAACAACCTCTTGCACAACCCAAGCTCCAGATCTTTGCCAAAACTTTAAACCAAAACACAGTGGTAGGTACTAAGTACAATCTACAATGTGCAGTACAGCCAGTCACAAGACTCCTTCAAGTTTCCAAACCACACCCTCCACCATTTGAAAGGACAGAAGTAACAAATGCATGGGAGTACCTGCAAACTCCAAGCCACACACCATCCTGACTTGAAATTATATCACCTTCCTTCATCGCAAAAAATCGTGAATTTTCTTCCTAATGGGGCAGTCAGTACATCTACACCTTGCAGATAGCAGCAGTTCCAGGTGGCAGCTCTACCCCTTCTCCGGGTAACTGGGGAAGGGCAATAAATGTTGGCCTAGCCAGTGAGGCCTACATCTCATGAACGCCAAATAAAAGTATATCACCACGTCCTGCTATTTATGTTTGAAAATAGCTTCTTCTATTCTGTTACCCTACCTTCTGGAAACTAAAGTAACTGCGAGTACAATTGCACAAATTGCAAATGGCTCTGTTTATTTCTGCTAAAATGCTGGGGGTCGCAGGTCTTCGTTGCACAAATGCAAAATCAAAATAAGATATGTTTAAGGGTATTTCAGCTTTGTGTCACTGAATTATGTTTTCTTTTGCAAGCTGATTGCTTATTGCAGTCTGCTTTTGTTATAAATCAGTGACAGAAAGTAGAACTGCATTTAAGCATCTCAGTTCAAACAGTAACAAACTCTGACTGACAAAATTGTACAGATCCGAGTCAGTTACTATCATTTATTTGTGATTTTAATTTTTTAATTTAAAAAATGGAGTTCAAAACCATGACTCTGGGATTATCAGTTCCATTAATTACAAATTGAATTAGCCAGGCTGTGTAGGAGCTTGCTATACAATATCTTTCCAGCAAAACACTTCAGAAGTGAATCTGAGCAATTATGTATCTAAGTATAATTTGGATATTTTGGGATTTGTAGTGTTAGATGGAAACTTTAAATTCATGCAGTTTTTGTTTAGCGAAATAATTTTGAGGAAGAATTCAATTTGTTGCTTATAACTAAATTAAGTCATCTAAAACATAATGGATAAAATCAACAAGCTTCACATTAGTTTGAAACCAGGGAAGCCATTTATACTGAGCACTTTTTTTTCCAGATTTGCACAGAAGGAACTTCTGTTGAAGTTACCTTATGTTGCAATGGCAGTTGCAATGGTTGCTGTGTTCCCCACGTTATAACAGTGACTAAACATCATTATCAACTTTAATTGACTGTAAAAAAACTTAGAGGTTTGAAAGACACAACATAAATTCACCTTTTTTTTGCCCTTTGGTTGTCTCTCCATCTTGACAACTAAAAATAGAGTTATATGTACTGTAAACCCCATCAGTTAAATGTGGAAAAGCTTAGTGGCTTAGGCTTCCTGTTCAGTGTTGCAGAAGCGGATCTGTGGGTTAGGCTTTTAAAAATATAGTACAGAGAAGGAAAGGCTGAATTCAGTAGTGTTTAAGACCTTGAGCCTTGCTTTATAATTGAATCCTTATCTGATACATCAGTCTAACATCCCTACATTGAGATCTTTCACCAACCAACTTCAGTCTACATTTTAGATTGAGCAACCCTGTTCAGCTGTGGTTTAACTGGCTGTAATCGATCATTTTAATGGAAAAAGCACGCAGGCTTCTTCCAAGGCTTTTACTAATGTTAATAAGATCTAGTCCACTTCTGTTTTTCCTGTTGAATCCCATGCCCACATTCCTGCAATCTTCTCCCTTATTAATGATCTCATGGCTGCAGTGTCGTAATCCACCAATTTATTCAACATTGGTGCTGCTGGTGCTGTCACCAAACATGAGCTAGTTAAAGCCAACATAACATTTAAAATATTTTCTGATCACCTGTGCAGATGTTATTGCACACCACTGCAGCACAAGAGCCCCATAAGAGTATTTAATATTTTTCTTCTTTCTTGCCCTTTTCAGAAGTGTTACCACACATGACTGAACGGCTTCATCCCACCATCAAATCACCTCTGGGACTTTTCATCCACCACTACTAAATCACCATGTTTTCAATTACTCAAATTAAGTGCACTTGACAGTATTTAATTTAAAATTGGCTAATTCATTGTAATTGAGAGATGAAGCCAATTTCAGATGGATGTATTAGTCGTAATGGCATTCTAAAGAGGTTACCTATTTCACAGATATACTGTTATGTTATTCAGTGCCAATAAACCATCAACATGATTTTTCCATTGTATAATATTTCTCTCTGCATGGTATTTTGAATCCATACAAAATTTTAGAATTTATAAAACACATACAATTGATAATCAGGCTGATTAATAGGAACCTTATACTTAAAAAGATCATTCTTCCCAGGAATGAGCCACAGAAAGAATTCTTAATCCTGTTCATTTGCCAGGTCCTCTACTGTAAAATACATGTGGGGGAATTAGATGAGGCACAATAAGATTCAAAAAAAGAACCAGAAGGTAGTTTAGATTTTGTTTAAAAACATAGCAAGTTATGATCTGTTAAATGCTACTTGAAAGTCAATAACTACATATTTGCAGAGAGTCATTGGAGCAGTACGGTGTCACAACACACTAGGGGAGCGCATTTAAAGATGGTCTAATGTACATGACTTTTAGCCTCAAGTTGATTGAAAGCAAGCACCAGGTTTCTGTACTTAACAAGCATCACTATTTATTACAAGTAATGAGAATGTGGCTATCTGTAAGCATTTATTAACAGTTGATGCATAACACTAATTCAAAGTTTAATCCTCTTCCACACATATAAATTAGACAAAAGAAAATGCACAGAGTAAAAAAAATGGAAAAAGCAGTTCAGTAATCTTTGTTCACAAGATGTGTTGAGTTGGTTCTTGCTGATCAAAAAGTTTATCCTCAGTCTTCCTTTTCCAAACGCTTCCATTGCTTGGCAAAAGACACAGGGTGGCCAGTTCTCTCCTGAAAGGCCTCTTTCTTATACTTAAAAGTCACACTTACAGCAACTGCTGAAGGAACGACAAACTGGTTTTCTTAAAGATTTAAAGTAGGTTTTCCCAGTTTAACTTATTCCGAGCCCCAAGCTCGAGTTACCTGAGAACGAATCCCACAGTTGTTGTCAGTCTAAAGGCTTGTGGTCCATGGACTAGTGAACAATTATCTATGACAATCAATGTCTTGTTGCCAACCAAAGTACCATCTGTAAACAACGCCTTAGCTCCAGTTAGTCCACAATCTAAACCTCAATTACTGCTTGTTCAAGCAGCTATTTATACAATGTTTGCCAAAAGTGTCAGGTTACTTTCTTTTCAAAGCATGTAGCAATCATTTAAAACATTGTTTTACAACAGTTCTTTCACATCAATCCACAATTTTAAAAAGCACAAAAATAAAATCCTTATAGCAGACTGGACTTGCCTGTTGGGACTATGCAGAATCCCCACACAGCAGACTTCGTGGGAATTGCCTAGGTAATTGAAACTCCCGATTGACAATTTTCCTCATACAGGAACCTTCTAAAAAAGCTCCTTAAAGTCAGAAACTTTACTAGGTTGTGACTTAGTTAAGCTTATAGTTATCTATAAAAAGTTAAGTAGATTAAAAATCTACTCCAACTCCTTGGTAAGTATTAAACAGATAATCCTCCCCAGTTGAACCCTAACAACCACCCGCCTGACCTGACCACATTTCCTTATCCCCGCTGTTTGGCCTGTCCCACTCAGACCCAACAACCACCTTCTCATCAGACCCAATACACCTCACCTCCAACTGGAACCAAACCCAAGCCAATATTCTGTCTTGCCTGAACCAGCAGTCTCTCTGCCATTGGCTCAACACCCCCTCCCACCTGTTAGCCACAAACCCACTACCCATGACTGGACACTGGCCTGATGAAACATTCTGCTAATCAAATCAACACCACAGTAGTCCACCATCTTCACTTAACTTATGCACTCATTCTTAGCACCTCAGTTGTAGGGGTACTTGACAAATTGATAGAAGACTCCTGAACAAACAACCATCATTTATTTCATGTGCACGTGGACAGTAGCTTTAACACAGTGTCAAAGCCTGCTCTGCCAAATTAAAGAACTCCTTCAAGCTTTATATAGATGAAAGCGTGCATATTACAATTCCCATATTTGATATCCGTGTGTCCCATATTATCTTGTTTTCCATGTCTCAGTAAGTATTATCTGTTCTTCACCCAGGGTCGTTGATAACCACTTACCTGGACAGCCTGGATGCCTTCTTCATTAGTTCCAGCTTCGCTTATTAACAGTGTGGCTGAAGCTTTAACCCTTACAAATTCTCCCCTTCAGCTCTGGTCCTCCACATTTTGGCATCTTACATGCCTCACACACTGCTCTTCTCACCCACCTTAACCCTACACTTAATTAGCCTTTCACAGCAGATTTCGAAGTGGCAGGCAGTCCTGCTGGACAAGCAAATCAACTGAAGTTCACGGCACACTGATGCAAAATGGGGTGTGGTTTATATGAAGGCTTCTGCGCTGATGGATTCATGGATTTCTGGACAAGGTCATAGCACAAGGCCCCTGTCAGGAATCTCCAGTGCAGAAAATATCTAAAGGTAACTGGGTAACTTTTAATTTGATCAGTGTATGAAGTAGGGTTTCTGATCCTGATCAGGATATCTGGGCCAGAGGAGTGGTACTAAAAGCTTGGCTGTAGAGCTTGACATGGGCACATTGACCAATAGTCTTCAGTTGCACGGAATGATTCTAATATATTTTCCACAGTCATAGAATTCTTTCACTGTCCAACTTCTCTCACAATCTGGCACCAGACAACCTCCAGGACTCGGTGAAATTGCAGATTAACCTGTGTTGTTTGAGGAGGGAGAAAACTGGATACAATCAGAGAATTTCAACTCCATTCTTTGTAATTAAATGGTGAGTGCTAGTGATAGAATGGAGAACAGCAAGCTAAAGTCAATTATCAACAACCAGAGACAATAGATTGAGGATAATTTAACATTGCACAAAACATCCATTAAGCCACTTATTTTGAATAAATGGTAGCACAGTGGTTGTGATCGGACTAATCATCTAGAGGTTTAGATTAATAACCTAAAACTTAAATTCAAATTACAGCAGCTGGGGAATTTTTAAACATTTGAAATAAAGACCATGATTTTTGATTTACTTATGCACTTTTAGGAAGGAAACTGGCTGTTGTTACCTGGTCTTCCCAATGTGACTCCAGGCCTACAGCATTGTGGCTCACTTTAAATTGTGCTCTGAAAATTTGCTAGTGACCTATTAAGTTGCATGAAGCCCAGTCCACAGCAAAGTGATTATGGAGGTTCAAAAAGGCAGCTCACCACTATATGAATGAATGAAAAAGCCAAGCTGAAGAATTTCAAAAATTCAATTCCCAATCTCATCCACAAGATATTTACTCTATCTCAGTCACAGGATATTTATTCTCCCTCCAATACCAAATTTTGCCTTTGTAATGATGTTATTTCATGGTAGTGCATAGTTCTGTGACACCCGTTGTTTAACAAATTTACCACTGCTTATTTAACTTAAGAAAGTTAGATTTAACTAGTTGGCTATCATAGACTAATTCTAACATTTCTCATCAACGCTCAGCCGTTTTCTCTTGCACTAACTAGACAGCGACCAAGTAAATATTCCATCCAGAAATTGAGGGCCAAGTCTTTCAATGCGTTCTAATGAGGCCAATATGATCTACATCAGTTTATCTCGAGTAGATCAATGACAGTGCATATTGCATTTGAAACTATTGCTGCTACTTCTGGAGAAAGAATGTGGGCTCCCAAATTAGAACATAAACATTTGATTACTCCATAAATAGGTTGTTACTTTCCAGTGCTACAGAGGGTAGTTTGTTTAACATTGATAATAGATGAGGGAGTGTTCTTTATAACTAAGAGGTCAGCATCAGACAAGACACAAAGAGATTCTTTTAAAACCTCAACTATTTTGTAATAAAACAAACCCATACTTCATACACTTTGTCCAGGTAATGTTCTTGTCAGTAACCACATTTTATAATCATAATCTAGGTTTAAAAGAGACAGTTCCATTATGGCAGAATAATATTTACAATGAAGAGAAGGTCTATGCTAGTTGGTTGATAAAAAGTCCGTACAAAGTAATTGTTCTTTAGAAAATTTGCAGAGAACAAATCAGTAACACAAACTTTACATAAATGTATGAGGTAGAACTACAGCAAAGTGTAGGCACAGAAAATAATAATTTAAATTTCCTTTAATGAAGGGATACTTTTATTAAATTTGTTTTTCATCGACACCTGGCAAACTATCGTCATCATAATTGACAATTACGATTGACTAGTACTTTGATTAGCAGCCACAATTTAAGTGCACAACTAATATCATTCAACAATAAACTGTAATTGTAATTAAGAGTAGTTTTTGGTCTTTGTGCAAAATATTTTAACTTTGTTTTCAGAATGTTGAGAAGTAACAAACAACATTGGCATTTATTACTAAATCTAATTTGGCCTAAGATAGCAGTGGGTCTTCTCTTTGACCCACTACAGTCCTTGGAGTAATGTATGCTCGCAGTGTGGTATTTAGCAAGAAAAAGTGACCCAGCAGCAATCAAGAAATGGTGATTTATGTCTGTGAAGATTGTGTTCCCAGGATCCTGCATCTCCTCCTCCTCTTTAGTCATATCATAGGACAAGACCCAATGAGGAGTCCAGTTAACTGACCAACCTTAGCACAAACAGATAATCCAGAATTGGGTCATGGACAGTCCCCTCTAACAGTGCACCTGGCCTACTCTCACACAAATTCTCCAGTTTTGGCCTATAATTGTGAACAGAACACATACTAACAGGGAAGGTCTTAAACTAGAATTAAATCTCTATTCTTCCAATAACAGAACAAGTGAACACTAGTCATCACATATTCAGTTAACAGTATGCAAGAATAGGACACAATATCCAAAGTTTGCCAGACATACCACTCAGTCACAGTACCACATAAGACTTACAATTAGGATGTCAAAAGAAAGAAAATTGACCATAACAGGTTTGTGTTTGCTTGGACAAAATCATGGGAACACCAGGAGAGACTCAGCCCCATTGAACCCCATCACTCAGTTTGGTCATGGCAGATCTGTAATAAATTAGCAAAGACCAAACACCAAATATGGTAAATCTGTTGCAATCATGTTGAATCTTAATAATGTAATTATAAGCAAATGATCAAAAAAGGTTTGATTTCTACTTATTGTAAGAAATAAAGGCTGAGTGTTATTTAATATCACAGAAGTATTCCAATTGCTACAAGATGCTTATCTGTTGTGATTTGGTCAGCTCCAAAATCAAATTAACCTCACTACTGTAAAAGAGGACTCTGAAAAGAATCAAAACCTTGGACACTATTTTAAAACAACTCAAGCTAACGTACTCGTGGAATGCTGCTTTGCCAATTATTCTTCATACTACTTTTGTTCCAATATGATTAAAAATGCCTATATACTAATAAAGGTGTCAGTCTGAGTGAGGTTTGGAGGGAACTATGCAGTGGACAGTCTGTGCAGCATCTACTGTGAAACAAAAACACAAAAGCATCATTGTTGATTCTGAGGTGCACTACAACTGCCCAATAAACACATGGGTTAGATTACAGGAAGCACACAGATAGCAAGAACTGCAGATGCTGCAGAAATGAAGAAGGGTCCTGACCCGAAATGTGAACTTTCCTGCTCCTCTAATGCTGTCTGGCCTGCTGTGTTCCTCCAGCTCCATACTGTGTTGTCACAGGAAGCACAGATCTGCCTTTGGAAACTTATATTGCTGTAAAGTTTAATAGAGATAATGGGATCCATTGTTACTAGAAATGCACAAAGGGAATGCTATAGATAGTAGGCTAAATGGGCTAAAGGTCCATTTTCCTGTTGAAACTGTTAATATAGAAGATGAGTAAATTGTTAATTTAGAGATTAAACACAATTTCATCAAAAGGCAATACAGGTTCAAGGAGGCAAATGGTCTTATCCATTCTTCTTTGAAAGTTGGGAGAGCTAATGCTATGACAATGAATTACAAATTTGCTTCATTTCCTTAGCAAAATGTTCTACTCTGGAAGGGAATCCATGTATTAAATATGTAAGAGACAGTTTACCAGTAACATCCTCAGGACATCACACTTTCACATCAAATGTCAAGAAAACAAACTAACTTCTTTGGAAAAGAAACTTCGTTTATAATATTAGAATTTAAAAAATAATACCAGAGTCAACAGCAGTTGAGTATTGAAATAACAAATTTTCAATATTTTAAATTATTCTAGGAGGTTCTATATGCTTCCGTCTATGTCATCTGCTACCTGCTTTTTCATTGGAAAAGTCTCGTGTTTAAATGACAGCTGCAAAAAAAAATACTCAGTTCTAGCATGATGATAATAATTCAGTCACATGTTAATATTCACAGCTCATCACAGAGAGCTCAAGACCCAAGTCAAAACCCTGAACAGCCAGTCACAACTTCTAATGGCCATTTCTGCAGGGAAACATCTACGTGTAAACAGGGGAAGAAACCTAACACAAGTGAGCATTGTAGAAACACAGAATAAGAATAAACACAAAGCAGAACCAATAAACACAAAGCAGAACCAGGGAAGTATTATCGTTCCATTAACAGAGAGGAAAACATGATAGCATGTTTCTGTATGACATGCTGTCACTAACAAACCTGCACCCACAAGTAGTGTAGCCAAGTATTATCCAACAAAACACTTAGCTATGTGCACTATGTCCCAGTCTTCAGTAACAGACCTGTACCCACTAGAGAGATATTTCAGTATTATACAGTGACACATCTATTTTCAAAGTCCCCCAGTTCTTTACCCCAGTATCCACTAAATCTGAATCTCCTCAATTGTGAAACCTGTACCCATAAGAACTGAATCCCAATGTTGTAAAGCAGAAATACTCTCTTCAAGCACAACTGAAGTCCAGGAAGCTGGAATTTTAGTCACTTTCCCCCCCTACAAATCAAAGGAATATGGAAGGTTAGTTTCATATTTGCATGGCACTTCATTAAGATCAGTAAGGATGCTGCCTCTAATGTGATAAGGAACTCACAGCAGCTAGTACAGCAATGTACTAAAGTAGCTAAGCTGTTTCAGAAATAAAGCTATTTAATTCTATGGCTGATATTTCCTGGTGATTGATTTCAAAATAAGATATGAAAATCTTGAACTGGAACTGGAACTGAAAATGACAATGACATAACCCTGAAACATGACAAACATTAACCTATTTCAACATGAGAAGCTGAAATAGAAACTTTATCTCCTCAGCAGCAACACCTGTTAAAATTCGGACAAATGGAGATTTGAATGAAGTTTTTTGCCCTCCTTCAATCTCATTTCACTCACTGCCCTTCAAACATCCCACCCCCATCCTCAAAAATATAAAATGCACTATTATTTTTAGGAAGTAAATTCTCAAATGGAGGAAACTTCTGATGACTAGTTTTCGTAATGGGCCCCATACTGTTTCCAATGGGCCCAATACTGTTTCCAGATTCTTCAACTAGGCACTCAGAACAATGCACAAATGAGGACCACAAGGTTAACAATCATCTCACACTGCAAATTCATCACCCATGTTACCAGTGTGGCTGTGTTTCAGCAACTTATTGACAGGTACCATTGCAAGTTCTGTATTAGTGAAGCCAGGATGACAGTCTACTTGAATGTTGGCAGCATATTAAAAGCTGTTTACATGGTTTCAGTTGATTTTGGTAGCAAAGATTAGAGACTTGTGAAGCTGCAGCTTTCTCTGTAACCAGTGTTTTCCAGTTCATTGCCAAACGTCAGTGTTAGGGGAGAATCAGCGGTTTTGGGGACACTTTGTCCTGGTATGTCCCGGTTGGTGGCACAGCCCACATGTTCGTGGCTTCTTTGCGGTTGGACCATTTCTGGGGGAGCTTCCATCACTCCGTTTATTTGTCATTCCTGAGACAATCAGAAATAACATGTTAGATTAGAAGCTTTGAAGACACTGAATGATCTCTCTTGTGAATGATGTAAAATCATTACAGACAGCAGTAGTCATTCATTCCATTCACTGCAAGTTTAAACAATGATTTCTAGGTATCTAATGGGTGGCTTCATTCAGTGCTCTCAGCTTTCCTCGGCCATATCAATAGCAGGGGCTTAGCACATAAGCAATAAGACAAAATCTTAAGTAATTTACTAGAGATTTATAAATCTTCTGCACTTCCAAACAACTGTGTTTTCCTCGTGTATAGACATTATCCACATATTAATCACAAATTATGTCCTACACCATTGGATTCCTGAAAGTTACAGAGCTGCAACTTGATCTGCAGTGGGCAGTGATCAATGAAAAAATTTAGAACACTAACTATGGTAGAGTCACTCTGTCACATACCTGGTGCAACATTCTCATCAGCCCACTGGAAGAAGCCACACTGTTGGTCTCTGGGCTTGGCGCAGGTGTGAAATGTCCGACCCTTGTTAGGTCCATCTTTCTGCACTGTGCGTGTTACTGCTAGTTGATTGCAAGTGCACACTGCTTCTCTTCCACTTGAAGATCTGTTGCTTCCAGCTTGATGAAAGCTCCCTGTCCCAGGGGCTGAACTGCCCCTACTAACTGATTCTCTACCAGCTGAGTCACTTGCATCCTGGTCAGCCCACAGGAAGAAGTTGCAACTGCCTCCGTTGCATTTATAAAACCTCCGCCCCTGATTCGGTCCCTCCTTCCGAACAGTGAGCAGCAGTGCATCCTGGCCACAATTGCACACAACTGCATTATTGTCAGATCCCACATGTGAAGGAACAATCCTGGACAGTGGATCAAAAGCACCTTCCTGAGGTTTTGGCAGAGTGTTCCTGCGATCCCGAAATGACCTGTTCTCTAACCCACTCTGTGGCACATGGTTGACAATTTGATTGTTTGATTGTGATGCTCCTCGTAAGTACCTCAGCTCCAAGATCTCTCTCAGCATTTCATCACATCCTCCAATACAACCAACAAATTCCAAGGGGACCAGCGGAGGCACACTACCTCGTTTGAACTTAAACTTTAACCTGGAAGTTTAGAATAAATGAAATGTTTATGTTTTCACAAAACAAGGACAGTTGTAAAACTGTTTACATTTTGCTGCTATAGTCCTTACCTGTAAATAGGGTGTGGTTTACATGTGGGACATATGCTATCATCTCTGCTGACCTCCAGAACAGAATCAGGAAACCAAACTGCAGACTTGCAATTTGGGTACCCCATACATGAAAGGTAATAGCTGCAGTGAACAAGAATGAAAGACAGTTGGTGACAATAACACCTGTGCAACTAATCACCAATATCACAAAGGCAAGGAAGGATGACGAACAAAAGTTGGTCTTATCAACTACCTCCACAACTCAAAAAAGGACTTCTAAAAATAACCCTGGCCCATCTTGGCAGCAGAGAAACAATATATATTCATTTTCCACCTTTAAGACATCCCAAGACTTTTTACAAATGACCAAAGTTTGACTACATGTTAACAGAGAAGTGCAGAGATTTATAAAGCCAGTAGATAGAGGTATGAATTGATTTGAGTCCATAAATAAACACAACAGCAAAGATTCACTGTGGTCCCATTTATCTGGGGAGAATCACACGCTGATGAGAATTTGGTGCAGGGCTGGATGAACACAGCAGGCCAAGCAGCATCATAGGAGCAGAGAGGCTGACGTTTCGGGCCTAGACCCTTCATCAGAAAAGGGGGAGGGGAAGGGGGTTTTGAAATAAATAGGGAGAGAGTGGGAGGCGGATAGAAGAGGGATAGAGGAGAGGATAGGTGGAGAGGAAACAAACAGGTCGAAGAGGCGGGGATGGAGCCAGGAAAGGTGAGTGTAGGTAGGGAGTTAGGAAGGGGATAGGTCAGTCCAGGGAGGACGGACAGGTCAAGGGGGCGGGATGAGGTTGGTCGGTAGGAGATGGAGGTGCGGCTTGAGGTGGGA